TCCCAAAGCGCTGGGGTTACAGGTGTGAGCCACCATGTTCTGCCTTATGGAACAATTTCTATTTTATTAAAGGAAACAAATTACTTTCTGAGTAATAGTGTTTAACTTCAGAACCTTTTTCTTTGTTTTTCTTTTTAGTAGTTATAGTTCTTTGTGGCATCACTATTTTCAATTAATATTTAGTTGCATTCTTTTTTATTTTTAAAGTATTTTTTTGTAGAATTTGTTTTATAAATGAGTTTATCATTTTGTACCTTCCCTATGACCATCTTATCTCTGTTTGAATTATTGTAGTGACAAAAATCAGTCATTTAAGCTTATTTAAAATTATTTCTATTCAATACTATTTTTTGTTTATTTTTACTCTGGAAGCAAGTTATTCATTTATGTTTTTAATGAATATTGTATTACATATAATTAAGTTGGTACAAAGTAATTGCAGTTTTTGTCATTAAAAATAATGGCAAAAATCGTAATTACTTTTGCACCAACCTATATGCCAGGCCTTGTGCTAGATTCTGAGAGTATAAAGATGCTCATAACCTAGTTCTTGTTCTGGAGGAGCCACAAGAGAGTGGGTGAGACAGGCATATAGGAGCTGAAATTTTATGGCAAAGTAGATATTAGACTGACTGAGGCATGAACAAAGTGCTCTGGGCTCAGAGTGGACCGTGATGAGTTGGCAGGAAAAAGAGTTCAATATACTTGAAAAACAGTGCAACTTTCTTATGTAATACCTTACTCACTTTTTTTTTCTTACAGATTTGTCCATTATAATTTTGTATTGGAAAGTGATTGGTGACAAATTTTTTATAATACATCATTGTGCAGCCCTGTATGCATACTACTTTATACTGGTAAGTTTCAGGATTTTCTGTGGCCTAACTAGCAGACAAGATTGGGAATTGTGATGTATGGGTGAACACAAATCTAAACATACAATTCTTAGTTTTTAATGACCCTCTCCAGATGCATTCAGGGATTGCTTTTGTGATATGCTATCTTGTGTATTAACTAAAATAATAACTTTATGTGTGTCTGTGTTGGTGTATCTGTCTGTATTCATAGATTTTGAGACAGGCAGATGACTCTAATTCCTTGAATTTTAATTTAAAACCTTCAGGGTTGTGTAGCTATAGATATTTGTCTCTTTCTAGATGCATTTACGATTTAATTGCCAGGGAGATGAGCCAGTGAAAATATTTCTTTTCTGCTTAATTCCATGTGCAATTACATGTATATCCATAATTACATTTAAGTAGGTTGGAGCAGTGGAGACTTTATCAGAATTCTAAGACCAAGGTTATTAGAGGATTCCTCTAACAGATCTCAGGCAATAAAACATATTAAATTGTATATCTAAAAAATTTTCTACATATACATTTATAAACTAGCAACTTTATATTCCTTACATGTTTGTTAGGTTTCTCTAGAATCAGTTATTTTTCAACATAGATAAAACAACAAGCTCAACATAGATACTGCAACTGCAATTTTTTTCCTAAAGATGGTTGCATTTTTGATATGTCATTATATGTTCCATTGTTATAGTCTAAAATTTATCTTTTAAGGTGAATCTATTCATAGGGAAACTAAACAGGAAGAATTAGGTGAAATGATGAATGTTAATAGATGCTCTAAAGATCCCATGTTATTTACCAATCTTAACGGTAGTTACTCATTGACTATAAGAAGGTTTTTTTTTCCATGCAGTGAATTCCCAGGTCACTTTGTGCATTTTGTTATTCTAAGTAAGTCTAACAAAAATAATAATAATTATAATTTTTAGGGGCAAATGGTCATGAAATTCTTATCACTTATGTAATAATGAGAACTTGTATTTGGAAAGCGCTTTGACTTAATACTTATGTAACCGTTTAAGCTATTTGCAGGAAGCTTTTTTTTTCTTAAATGATTTTGTTATTAGAACAAAGTAAAACTTAAAGTGACAAATAGAAGCAAGTTCTCTGTAGGTTTAAAATGTATCCCTACTGAAGAAATAGTTGCAAAGTAAGATTCTTTGGAGTTTAAGGTATTATAGGTTATATAATGTCTTGATTGCTATTTTTGTATCTCTCTATATTTATTGAAGTTTTAAAATTCTCTGGCAGAGTAATTTAGAGCTTAAGGAATTTTCTTCTGTCTATAGAGAGAGGTACAAATCCTACAGCATTTTTTCCCTGATATTCACCTTTCACCCCTGGAGCAGGATACTAATTATCAAGGAAAGCATGACAAGCTGATCTCTTATTCTAGGAGAAATGAACACATTTATGCTTTAATCTCCAAGTTTTAAGGACAAACTACCATCCTTTGTACATCCTTTCTGACTGCTTTGGTAGCTTTCGTTTTTTTGTGTGTGTATTCCTTGTGAATCATGTTCTATCTCCAATTGAACCATGCCTTTAGATAATGAGTTAGAATATATTTGGAAAACATTTAAACTTGAAAGTCACTCAATATGCTTCCATTTCCAAATCCGCTGTATTATTACACCACACTTGAATCTGAGCATTAAATCATTCTGCTGCAAGTTAGGAAAAAACTTGGTTCAAATGGTTCTTAGTGCATTTGTTTAGGGTTATTAGGAGCACTGTGATGCCTTAAAGGTGAGATTTCTGTTTCTTGTTTAATGCTTTACCCCAATATCTATATTTTAAAAACATTTTATGAGCAGACATGTATGAAGCAGTATTAAAAATGAAAGATTTGTCATTTTAGATTCAGCAAAGTTGTAATTAACAGGAGACAAGAATTAGAAAAATATTGGCCTTATGTTTAGTTTAAAGGAAACTCTCCATAGAAATGCCATAAAACAAATGCCATGACTTGCTGACATTTTAATTATTAACAGTATTAAAAAAACTCTCTTGTTTTAAAAAGATTTTAATAGCATTGACTATTTGCAGTTACATACAACTACTGTATTTCCTCCTTTTCTTCCATTCAGATAGCCTTAAAAATAAATTTTAGGTAACTATATTAACTGTTATAGCAATATCTCAGAAGATAACAAAATTTCAAAAATTAACTAGGTAGATTTAAAAATAGCCACCTAATATAGCTTACTAAAGCAAGATTTGATATTCAGGTCTGTATGATTTCTAATTACCACTAATTTTGCATTTAATAAAACATGTTAAATATTAATTACTGAAAAATATTTTAAAAACTCAACAAGCAATCCTTTTCTTCCTGAAACAAAAGATTTTCAACTTTCTTATACAGTAATGAGCAAAACACTGGCAGAATTAAGTTGATAATTAATTATTTTGTTAGTATTTCTATAGCTCACTTATAGAAGTCTATATAAAAGCACAAATGTACAGTTAGTTTGTAACTCTTACTACTAATGGAGGGATTAGCATGGCAAAACTGTTAAGTGGTCAGTGTCAAAAATATATATATATGTGTTATATATTTACAACAAAATATATGTTATGTGTTTATATACACACACATACATACATACATGTATGTGTGGTTTTTTGTTTTGTAATTAAAATTTAAATTTTTAAAAATTTATTTTTTGATATAAAATATCTGATGTGACCATTCCCATAATTTCCAAATGTAACAAACTCCTGTAAGGCCTTCCTCATTGTTGGTGTAGGAGGAGTTCCAGTCTGGCTCTACCTACCTTCCTTGTCCTGTGGTTACTGTTTCGTGTTCCTCTAGGGGCACAGGGTGTCTTCTCGGATATGTGTAGTGGAATTACCTTAGCAGAGCTGTTTCGCTTTTTTTCCTCTAATCTTGTTTGCTTTTTGAATCCTATTTTCCTTTCAATGCCAGGAAAGAAAATAGGTTGTAGATTAGATTTGGTGTGCAATAAGATAGATGTAGCTAAGAAGATCGTCATGTCCACCCAAGTCAATATTTTGTTCTTAAATAGATTTTTAAAAACAAGCATATCATATGAATCTTTTTATATCAGGTAACTAGAATAATCAAATTCATAAAGACAGGAAATAGAATAGTTGTTGCCAGGGACAGGGCGGAATGGATAATGGGGAATTATTGTTTAATGGTACTGAGTTTCCATTTGGGAATATGGAAAGTTCTGGAGATGGATGGTGATGGTGGTTGTTTAACAAAATGAATGCACTTAATGCCACTGAATTGTACGCTTAAAAGCTGTCAAAAGGATAAATCTTATGTCATATATACTTTACCATAATAAAAAAGTTAAAGCAAGCTTATCAGATAACTGAAACAAAGGTAGGAAAACTAATAACATATTGGACAATGTATTACATTTTTAAAAAGGCTTCATATTGGCACTGTAAACTGAAACAAATGAGTGGAACTTAATAGTGATAAATGTTAAGTTTTGCATTTAGGTTCAATGAAGCCTAAAGATAAAGAATGACCTGGAGGTGGTAGATGACTGCATCTCAGTTATGCCAATAGTATATCACATCTGCTAAAACAGAAAGCTGTTTCAAATTTAGATTCTGTTATGGGAGCGATGATATCCAATTCACACATAGCTTGCCTGGTCAGACCACATCCAGGACCATCATCATCTGAAGTCCCTAAACTTCTGTAAGAGAGCTGCCAGTTAACCATAAAGAGGAGATACTAGATTAGGTAGCTAGTATCTAGCTGAAGGACCTAGAGATGTCAGCCTAGAAAAGCTAAGAACTAGGACATGATGGCTTTGAAATGTTCCTGGAAATGTGAAAGGACTACTGAGTGGAAGGGGGAGTAGACTTACTCTAGATTAATTAGGATGTTGGGACTAGGACCAATGCGGTGGTAAAGAGAGGTAAGGGAGACTTCTCTTTGATAGAAGAAAGGCATGCTCAGTGATTGGAAGATTATAACAATAGAAAGGCCTTTTGGAGCGGCAATTCTACTGTAAGATAGCTTTAATTGGATAGATATAAAAGTAGATACAATAAGCAGACGTTTTAGGTAGGAGCTTGCATTAAATAGTCTTTAAAGTTCTATTCTTATTCTGAGATTCTGTGATGCAACTGTTTTGTTGAAATGATTTGATTTAGTACTAATGCAAGAGAACTAGGCAATGGGGGAATTAACAATAAGCTAAGTTCTGTCACCAGGTTCTTAAGTAACCCTAGGAGGAAGGGGTGAAAGCAGCTGGCCTGGCAATCCATTCACTTCTTTGGGGGACAGAAGGGGAGAAAAACAAGGCACGTGGCCCAATCTAATCTCCTTGTCAACAGGACTTAGGATAAATAGAGTACTGATGTGTGTTAGGAAGAAGAAACTTTAAAATGACCTTAGCAGGGTGTCCTTGGGTAAGGATTACCTTATAGTAAAGAGAACCCAGTATCTATAAGGCACAGTTCCTGGGAGAAGGTCATGTAGGCACACAGCAAGGAAAGAAAGACATGGGCTGCCAGGGGCCCTTGTTATCCCAGACCTCTCTCTGCTTCACTTGAATTATTTGATGGTCTCTATCTTTGTAACATTTAGTAGAGCTTAATTAATGCTAGATAAGAACACTGTTTCACATGAGTCTGATTTGACAGTCCACGCCTGTGTGTTAGCTCAAACTTTCATCTCTGTTTTATAATAATCAAAAACCTTGAATGATTAGAATTAAGCAAATAGTTATTAAATATAGTAATAGATTTTGTTTCCAAACCTCAATTCTAGGTTGATGATACTCTGAAACGGTTTCCATTAATAGGTAATAGACTGGCCCAGAGTGTCAGCACATTTCCATTGTGCTGAGACTCTGGCTCAGTCTATTACCTATTTAAAAATGCCCCATCATTGCCACTGTAGAACACAGTCATATTTTTACACAGGATTCCAATTTGGAAGTCCCTGAACTTAATTCCTACCAACATATAGTCATAGTATAGTGTAGGGTAGTGTAGTGTGGTGTAATATAGTGTGGTGTAGTAGGGAAAGGGTGCCCATCTTTGTCCACACCTTTGGTGGTAGAACAGTATTTAGCACTATACTAGCAATAGTAGGTGCATAATTTAGTTCTCTTTTCCCTCTACCTTTTAAACCTCTGGTCTTAGCTACTCTTAGCTGGTAGGAAAAATTCCCATGGTAAGAAAATCCAGACTTCCATAATTACTTGCCGAAAGGAGAGTTTTCTTTTAAGCTTCAGAAGGGATCCGACAAATCCTGTTTTGTTTTCCCTCATAGTCATGCAGAGGCCATGGCAAATGTAGATTTTAGTCTATGCAAAGCTCCTTAAAGGTAGATGACAGAGCAGAAACACCACACTGACCATGAGTCAGTTGTGAGTTTTGTCATAATTTACCAACAATAAAGTATCAGAATTTGTAATTATTTAAAAATATTATAGAAAGATTTAATCTTACTGCTTTAATAGCATCTATCTCAATTGTATTTTAGCAGGTTTTCTTGAATAGGAGAGAAAAGGATAAAGTAATGAGGAATTACGCATAACCGGAATCTTATCTAATGGCCACCTATGCCGATGGAAGTGTATGTCACATATGATGCTATCTGTCATGGGTGTATTAGATTAAATGAGCCCAGAGTCATTGATATATTGATAGTGTACAGGATTAGAAAATACAGAAGCAAGATTACTGAAGCACAGTTCTACACCCCAGTGTGACTCACAGAGGGTTTTTAACTTCTTTTTTTTTTTTTTCCCAATCAAACTCACAGGATTTTTTTTTTTTTTTTAAGTTTTTTTTCTTTTTCTTTTTTTTCCCTACTGGCCGGATCAACCAGGTATTACAGAGGTTGTGAACTAAGGCAGGTGGGAGGTAGGGATTGATGATAGGATAGAACCTGTGCTTTCAATTAGGGATTTAAGATTTAAATATAAGATACTATGTAAAAATTAAAATGTCATCCAGGGATCAATCAGTAATACCATAGTAATTTAAGGAATGGAAGGATCATTGTGTTAATTCATTAATTTTTTTTTGAATATAGGCATTAGTAAAAAAAAAAAAATTGAGTTTGTAGAAATATAGGGCTTAGTAAGTAGAATGTTTTCTAGGTCTGATTCTCCAGAGATAACTGCTGATAGTACTTGATGTAGATTCTCGGAGTTTCACATAAATGTTCATATGTATATTTATGCCTTTAAATTTTCTAAGAGAGGTTTTGAGCTAGGCTGGATTTAAACTAAGCCTTCAAAAATATGCATATTTGTATTGGAAAAAAAAGTAGGGAAAGCTTCCTAGTCAGAACACATTTTGAGGAAAGTCACTGGGGAGATGCCAGATCTTCATGGGTGATATTGAGGACTTGGGCTGTCGGGGAATGGGATTTGTGTAGACATGGGTGATGGTTATACATTTGGATGAGTAAGATGGGTCCACCTGATAGGTGGAGTGAAAATTCACACTTACTAGCCTTGCATTTTTGCTTTTCACAGAATAGTTGTAGGATATTTAGCCAGAAAATAACTTGATACAACTGGCATGTTAGAAGGATAAAACCGATGATGATATGCAGAAAAAAATCTGGTTGGTTGGGGGGGGAGGATATCTTTTAGGAGGTGATTGAAGTAATATAGGTGACAGATTACAAAGAAGTTGATTTTAATGGTTATAGCAGTGGTTATATTAATGAGGAAGAAACAAATCTGAGTCATTTTGCAGTGAGTAGAGCACAGTATCTAATTTGGATTTCAGAGAAGGAAGGGAAAGAAGAGACCAAATGATCCAGAGCACTAGAGGAAGATGACACCGTGGAAGGAAATGGGAGAAGCAATTTAGAGAGATACTTTTAGATGGTAAGAGGTTTTTGGAGATGTATGGCTGTCCCAGGGGAAAGTGGCCCATATGCCATTAGAAATGAAGCTTCGCTTAAAGGACAGTGCAGTCAGTCAGGGTCAGGGACCAGAAGAAGGATGATCAGGCAACTCAGAAGGTAGAAAGAGAACCATAAAGGCATACATTGGGAATTCAGTGGTTTCCAAAAGCAATATTGGAAGCATTATTCCCTAAAAGCAACATTGTAAATAAAAAGCTGTGATAAATATTTTAAAAGTTATTTAGGTAATTCATTTTTATTTAAGGATTAGGAAACATTGACAAGCAAAAAGAAAAAATGATGCCCCAATCTCACAGCCTATATAACTATTATATTATTTACTTACTTAACATTTACATTTAGGAATGTACTTTTTTCCTATATGCATACGTGTATAAGTCAAAATGCATAAGTCAAAAACAGCATTTCTCATATATGTGTATTATAAAAATGTGATCAAAACTAAAAAAAATTTTATTTTATTTTATTTTTCTTTGAGAAGGAGTCTTGCTCTGTTGCCCAGGCTGGAGTGCAGTGGCACGATCTCGGCTCAGTGCAACCTCCACCTCCCAGATTCCAGCAGTTCTCTGCTTCGGCCTCCCAAGTAGCTGGGATTACAGGCACCCACCACCACACCCAGTTTATTGTTCTGTATTTTTAGTAGAAACTAAAATACAGATGTTGGCCAGGCTGGTTTTGAACTCCTGACCTCAAGTAATCCACCCACCTCGGCCTCCCAGAGTACTGGGATTACACCATGAGCCACTGCATCTGGCCAAAACTAAAATTTAAAATTTCATTTTACGTATTGAAGTGGTTCTGGCAATCTTGGGTCAGAAAGCAAGGAACCTATCAAAGATTAATGGGACTATGTCAAAAAGACATAAGATCCAATGTGAAGGCTCTTCTGTTGGCTTAAAATGTGATACTTTGATCATCAATTAGAATAATGACTGTGGTTGATTAAAATCCGTTGACTCATGAGTTCTTAATAATATTTTTAAAAAATGAAGGGAGAAAGCAAGCCAGCTGGACAGTCTTGCTTGATGTC